TTCCTTCCTTCCTTCCTTCCTTCCTTCCTTCCTTCCTTCCTTCCTTCTCCACCTGCACCGTTTTCTCCGTAGGAGGCCGTTGCGGCCAAAAATGGGGTGCAGGGGGCATGTGTGACCCAGTGCCCCATTTCTGCTGGCAGAGGGTTGTAGGAGGCAATCACACCTGAAACTGGCATGGGGGGCATGTACACCCCCCTTGAGCTCCATTTTCACTGGCAGACACACTGCTGGCCAGTTCTTTGCTATCTGTAGGCTGGCCCCACAGGCTGGATCTAAGCACCCCATGGGCTAGGCCTTGAGTTTGACACCCCGTCGTAGATGCGAGCCAGTTCCTCCCTGGCTGGGAAATAAATAGCAGGCGCTTGGGAGTGGACTGTTGTCGCAGACAATCGTTTGTTTTCCAGGGTACATCAATCATGTCGGATCTCTTTACCAGAACCAGGTTTGTCAGCGCTCTGTATTTGAGGTGCCAACAGCGTCTCCCTGCTGGGAAGTAGCTGAGAGTAAATTTGCCTCAGTTGACGTGAACAGGGCTGTCCTTGTTCTGTTTTTAGAAGGGGAAAAAAAACTTTCATTTGTGACTCATTGCTTTTGGTTTTGTTGATCCGATGTGAACAAAGACTGTTCCTTCCCTGATGTAAATAAAAAAAAGGGTTTGTGTTACTCATGAGTAAGCAGTTTCTCATTGCTTGGTGAAAACTGGATCAGAACAGGTGCAGAAAAAGAAGCAGTTTTTTTTATTTTTCCTGAAGAGTTTCGCTTCTCATTTAAGTATCTGTGGAGATTTCCCACCATCCAGGTCCTGGTTTGTCCCCAAAGTGTTTTTTCAAAAGTGCCTTTGTTTGTTTGTTTGTTTGTTTGTTTGTTTTTGCTTGAAGACATTTTGATTGGGGTCGGAGTTAGGGTTGGACTTCTCATCCAAAAAGTGTTAGAACTGAAGAAGCTCCTTGGAGGAGAAGTGAAAAGATCTAAAAGAAAAATCAGAAAGTCCATTTGCTTTTCAGAGAAAAGCACTTTTGGGACGATGATGGCCTTCCTCAAAACCACGAAACCTCCCTTCTCATCGCTTTTCCTTTGGCACAAAAGATGGAGGCAGACACTGCAGGGCCCAAGCCGTCGCTCAACGGGACAGGCACCGACACTTTGCGACAGAGAAACGAGCCATGCCACAGCTCTATATAGCTCTATAGAGGGCTAATCATTTCGTCCTCGCGTGCTGAAAGTGCGCTCGCATGCCTGCACCCATAA